TCCGCCAACCCCCCCCCCAATTCAGAATCAGAAGTTGGTAAACTGAAGAACCTTACTAGGCCTGTAATTTCTTCTTTTTCCATATTTCCATGGTGAAACAGAAAGTGCCACCTTTGGAAACACAGTATTGCAAAAAGTATATGTTTGCTTGGTTTTTAAAATTTTGAACTCAGTAACACATATCACACCAAAATCTTTTGAATTGCAGGCATTAGAAGAGCCAGCCAAGACTGCTAGTGTGACTGAAGGCCCTGCTTTGGACACCCATTCAGAGGTAGTGCTGTTATACATCTTTCAAATCTCTGTTTGAAAACAAAAAGCAAAGGTTAACTGAGTGATCCATCCTCCTTTTTCAGACGTGCTCCCCTGCCCAGCTCAGACAACAAACAGAAGAGCTGTGTGCTGTCATTGATCAAGTCCTGCAGGACCCGTTGACTATGGTAACCCATCAGTATGTGGGATTGACTTTTTTCTTCCTTTCCTTTTGTCTCTTGTCATTAATAAGTCTGTTCTCTGTTGAAAATAATTTTCCAGCGCCGATGCGAGTCTTCTCCAAGTTTTCTGCAGATGAGCACGGAGTCAGATGTTGGCAAGGTAGGTGAATAAGCCCACCCACACACCCAGGGCTCTTTCCAGGTAGATATCAAGGCAAGCAAAATCACAATAGAGCCTATGGCAACAGAAAGCTGCAGCTGAGAGATGCAACATCAGTAGAAGTGTCTGGTGGTTTAAAAGACATGGAAGGGCAGAACTGTAGCCCTGGAGTCAGCGCAGTCTTTGTTGCAGGATGCTTTCCTGAAGTCAGAATGAGCTATATTATGAAAGAGAAACTATTTATTAAGGCTTCAGAGGCTAGGATCCACAAGGAAGAAATCCTTCATACCTTGCCTTCCATATTGCAGGCCACCTCCCAGATTTCATCCCATCTATGTGCCCTTACTACAGAGGAGCCAATGTTTCTAGCTTCAACGACTGGAAACATCTTTCAGAACATTTTTTTTCATGTTCATTATTGGTTTTCAAATAATAGGATAATTAAATGAATAAATAGACTTGCTCTTAAGTGCTGATTTCCTTTTAACTCTGGGCCCTCACAGGAGGGGGATGTCTGCTACATCCATTTACCCTGGACAACTCGGAAACAGGTAGTGAGAGGCAGGGATAACTTTCTATACTGGTGTTAAACTTCTGGTTTCACTAAGTTATATTGATGTGCCTTCTGGGCTCAGAAGGATGACTAACCAAGGGAAGAGGGTCCTGTACTCAGTTTGCCCCAGGTAAATTTAAGTTGGTTGTGGTAGCTCTAGGAAAGTGAAAATGGCAGAAATCCAACTGGAAACGGGAGCAAAGGGATTTTTGGCAGAGGAACACATCCAAAAGTTAATGCATTTAAAATATCCTGCACAATGTCCAGTCCACCATGCAAAAATAGGGCACAGAACCAGCATTCCTGAGTGGCTATATTCAATATATATTTCTGTTGTGTTTTAACCCAGCAGGCAGCTAAACACCACACAGCCGTTCGCTCACTCCCCAGTTTAATAGGACAGAAAAGGAAAAGGAAGGGAATAATAATAATAATAATAATGATAAAAGAATATACAAAATAAGTGATGCACAATGCAATCACTCACCACCCACTGACTGATGCCCAGCCAGTCCCTGAGCAGTGGTCACACCCCCATGACCAGCTCCCCCCCAATTTATATACTGAGCATGACGTCATCTGGTATGGAATATCCCTTTGGCCAGTTTGGGTCAGCTGTCCTGGCTGTGCCCCCTCCCAGCTTCTCGCTGGCAGGGCATGAGAAGCTGAAAAGTCCTTGACTACTGTAAGCACTACTTAGCAACAACTAAAACATCAGTGTGTTATCAACATTATTCTCATCCTAAATCCAAACCACAGCACTGTGCCAGCTACTAGGAAGAAAATTAACTCTATCCCAGCCAAAACCAGGACCAATTTTCACTTTTGAAATTACTTCTGTCAACCAGCATGCAGTGGTGACAGTGGGCTTCAGGCAACTGAAAGATGGAAACATGATAGTAACCGAAGAAGCAGGCAGAGACTGTTATTGAGAGAATGTTTTTCCAATGCCTGCGCTGAATCTGAAGTGGTTAAAATGCTGCTACTAAGCTGAGCTACAGCATCCAAAACCTACTCCCTTGGGCAACTGAGAATTGAGCCTTGACCAAATGGAAGGCATCTGTCAGCAGTCATGAAACCAAATAAAGGGGGCAAAAAGTGAGTTTAACAGGATACAGCATAAGGACCAAGCTAAAGGTTGTGAGGACCTCAGAATGAGAGAGCAAAATGCTTAAACTGAGGGTAAAAGAGAGTCATAGACAGGAAGGAAAAAAAAGTGTATGTGGTAACTAAATGCCTTAGAAATAGCATGGATTAGACAGATGAAAGCAAGTTCTTGCAAATGAGAACATGGAAAGGTGCCGTTTCAGGTTATTTTGTGAGCAAATGTAACTTAAATTTCATGGGGCAACCACACCTATGACTATCTACTAATAAGCATTTTGTTGAGAGTTGTCAGACATAATTTAAATGCCATCCTCAATTGAGTGGGATCAATGTTTTTGAGCAGTAAAAATGAAATAGTATTTTCTACAATAAACATATCAAGCAAAACTTTAATATACCTTATTCTCATGTGTCGCATGAATCTTTCTGGAATACTGAAGTTTTCTTGAATTTGAGCAATTAATAACTTGTCACAATGATGAAAATCTGAGTTGCTCCTCAGAGTAACTCTTTGCTTTTAATATATCTATTTTGTACAAGGTATCAACAGCACTGCAGAGAGCAGCTGGGCGTGAAACCAGATATGTAAGTACTTTTATAATTACTCTACATTTTACATGCAGAAATGTCTAAATTGTCTGCTCTTGCTACAGAGTCTGCACAGGCATGTCGCCTACTCATGACATGAGGTGTTGACTAGTACAGAGAAACACGTATGTTAGAGTACTGGCAATTGAGACTTGAGATGTCTTCCCACTGCTGTAAATCCATCATGGTCAGAATCTCTTCAGTTTATTGATAATTTTACCTGTGTGAATATGATGTTAAAATTAATTTCTTCACATACTTCTTTGTTGTTGTTTGCTTCAAGCGTGGGGCAAGAGCTCGGTTATTTGGCAAACAGACTGTTATGGGTGCTGAAGGGTGCATTTGTTTTGACTCAGCCTGCACTGTAGACTTGCTTTGGTAGAAGTCCTTTAGTTCTTGCCTATCCATCAGAATTTGGGGTTGACCCAAACTTTTCTTTCCAAGGTATAGAGCTGGCTGAAAATCCACAGTTTATCCTTAGATGAATAGAAGCTGTTTTGTCACATATACACACATTCCAACATATAAAGAAAATCTCTATATTGAGTCATCTGTTCAATTATTGAAACATTAAACCCAATTAACATTTTAATTCTCACTAGCACACACAGTTACTGCAGATTCCATATTTTACTTACAACTCATCTAGTCATGTGGTGAGAAATCTCTGCTTACTATTCATCATTCAGCATTTCTATTGAATCTCAAATCAAAGCAGTGCTGGCAAAGCAATAGAGGCCTTCCAGTTTTATGCCAGCACACTGCTTGACTGATCAATTCAATTTTGCTTCTTGAATGTGGCGGTATGCATATTTTATTGCATACTGTGATTTTTACTTGACAGATTGTGCTGGCTCATACTAATTAGAAAAGATACTGGAAGAGAGCTTTTTAATGAAATAAAAGAGTGTGTTTCAGAGGTAGTCTGTGAGAACAGAGTAGATTTAATACCACTCCAGTGCAGATCTCCAGCTCCCAAAACTGTGGCTGACATATACCATAAATTCAGGCATCCAACTTATATGCCTAGGGATACAGTTAGGTTTTCTTTGCTGGCATAGAAAATCACCCTTAGAAACTCTTCTCTCACAGTCTCCCTTGGAACTTTCTGGATAAATGAAACAAACCAATATTTAAAAATACGTTTGGGAATAATGCAGAGGATTATTGGTAGGCTAACCTTTCCTATAAATTGTACAAGCATGTTGATTTTTTTGTGTGTCAGAAAACAGACTGTGGTCTGCAGGCTGTGCTGTGGTGGCTGAACTTGGTGGGTCCAGGCTCTCCTGGACTCTGCCATTGCTGCACTCTGCAGTAGAGTATCCTGAGGGACGAGCCAGGTGTCCCTAACAGCCCCCATACATCACAGCTCTTTCCCCCTCTCTTCCTTGGTAGGACATACAAAGGCTATTTCTGTCCCAGCTAATAAACCGGGAGGTGGCTTGTCCTCTGGCCCTTAGGGCGGGGGCACACTGAGGTGTTTTTCCACAGAGTTGTCTTCTCCTTTCCCTTCCACTTCCCTCCCCTCAAAGTGAGCCCCCCAGCCCAGCACAAGACCGATGGTGGCCTCATCCCTTTGGCTCATCGAGTGCAGCATGCTCCATGCTACCACGCAGATCACAATGGAGAACTGTCTGGAAGAGTGGTAGTTGGTGTGGACCAAAGCATGCAAGGGAGGGTGCTAACCATTAACCGGAAAGGACCTGTTCCTGAGCCTGTGTGCTGACTTTTGTTCACTAGAGGAGATATAGTCCAGGGGCCAACATTTCTTCATAGTAGGTACAAGATGTTTGTTTTTTAAACAAGGTGCCTACTTTGAGCCCATCTAACAGTGTCTCAGGTAGAAATCAGGAACTGAGTATTGTACGGAAACTTGTTATCATAATATCAAATTGTGACTTCCCCCAGGAGGTCTGTGGTGTCTCATGTGAGCTGTCCTAGAGTAATGGTTTTCAGCCATCCTTTTTTAAGAAATCTTTTTTTCTTTTAGAAGAAGGCATTTAGTTTATGCAACTGAATTAATTTTACTAGAAAGAATTAAAATGGTAATTTAGCAATATAATTTTCTTAATCTTTTTGTATTCATGATGTCCGATATTGAGGCGCTTGTCAAAATGTTGCTTTCAGGGTATTTTTAGTTAAGAGAAAAGCTTTAATATGTTTATGAGTCAGGGATAGGAAAATCTGTCATCATGCTAAAGTATTATTTATAAACACACACACATATAAATGTATATGTATGCACACATGATAATATTATTAATTACTTCAACAGTTTATATGAAGTAGTAGACTATACAAATATGTTGAAATAGTCTGCCATTTAACAATTAAAATGGCATAGATTTGCCTTGGCCTCAATTACTTTTTGTCTTCTCATGCACTTCAGAACCTTTTAAGGATGTAAATGATTGCGCAAATAGCAAGGGAGTGTACAAAAAGTATGGAAAAATGTCTGACGTCAGTGAAATTATAGCAGTTTGTACCAGCTGACAACTATGTACTACAGTTGTCATTTAATAACTTTTTAAACTGTATGGTCTTTAATTTTATCCCATTCACTATTTTATAATAGTGCATCTCTGTTGGCTTTAGGGATGATACTGCTGATTTGTAATAATAGTATAATAACATAATCATTCTCTAAATAAATTGCTTTTATGGCTATTGAGTGCCCTAATATATATACTTAGTCATTGTGTTTCCATATAATTACTGGCACGAACGAAAGCTTTCTTAACTTTAATTTCAAGTTCTAGCAAATTTATAACTTTGTCATTTAGCCCACTTACAACTATTTTAAAAATAATTTCTCATGATCAATTGGAATAATTACTTTGCATATTATTGACATTTTTGCTCTTCTTGACAGTTCTATTCTAAAAAAAATCTCTTTTAAGTGTTATAGACATGGCAGACAAGTGAAAAAATGAGAGAATATGAAGCAGCTAAAACTGCAGACAGACTTGCAGAAATAAGTAGTGCTTTTCTTTAACTGTGGTCTGCCGTGCTTATATACATTTCAGGTAACCCCTTTGAAATGAGATTTATTCTTAATTTGCACCACTGAATGAGAGAATTTAATTCCAGCCCGCTCGTATCTGTAGATCATTCTGAAGTGCTTTGATGTCTTTAAGCTCACAGTGAGATTGGTCATCACACTTGGTCAATGGTATGAAAGAGAGTCCCTGGTATGTAAGTATCTACTAGTAAAAACTCTAGTTTACTCTGTCAAGGGCAGAAGATAGACTTCTTGTAGATTTAGTGCTAAATCACCGCTGTGCCTGTGTGGGTGGGAAGGTTTCCTCCACCAGTGGCTGTGTTTAGAGATGTGAGTGCTCTTAGTGAGGAGCACAGTCCTCCACCATGACTCGTGGTGATGCTGTTCTCACCACCAATGCAGGACCACCAATAGGTCCAGGGAGCGATTAAACATCTCTATTTAGCACTTGGGAGACCACATCCAGAGTTGTGTGGCCAAATCTCCGCAAGGTCTTTGTCACAGGGGAACAAAGGAAGAGCGTGTTCTTCCCTCTTCAAATGTGCTGGAATTGCTTTTCTGCTTGAAACGGTGAGAGGAACATATAGTTGATAAAAATCCAACTGTAGTGGTCCTTCTGCAGAGGGTGCAGGCTGTAATGGCACTGACTTGTCTTCTACTACAGCTATAACATCTAACCATTTTATCTAGTACTTTTCTTACCACTGTATTGAAGAATACCCACATTTTAGAGTCTCAAGGCCTCCAAATCATAGCTACATCAAGGAAGGGCATGTTATCTGTACAGAAACACTGTGTTATCCAGTTGAACTGCTACAGAGCTTGAAGGAGTTGATTGGAGGGATCAATGCACCAGAAATTCTGAATCTCACTACTGCGTGGGCAAATAAGCATGTGGCATATGGCTATTTCACATATACACACAAATACTTTGCATTCATCTCTTTTACCCTTGATCTGGAAAATGGGGCTTCTGTTGTTCAATGTATACTCAGAAAAAAAAAAAAGTAATGCTTGAGCAGGATTGTGCTGGTTTTCATAATGTAAAGAAGGATGAGAAGGTTGGACTGAGCTCACAATACAATTGATAGTGTTAATAACATTGGTGCTGCAAATTAACAGACAATGGCAGGCTCAGAAATGTCAGGATTTACGTTTCAAGATTAGATCGAGATGAAAAAGTGAAATTTTGTTGCACTTGGAAAAATGTATCCCTAAAATTTTAACAACAGGCATTCATACTTAATTATGCCTAGAAATTATCTGGAAACGACAATATTTTAACTTCTTTTACCAACTGCATGTGATTGCATCAGTGGTAAAAGCATCTGTACCTAAGCATACTGCTGTCCATGGATTTTTCTTCTGATATTGTATGTAATACTGTATATATTTACCTTTTTTGCAGGCCAACCTTTACAAATCGGTACCTATGGTAACAGAGAGTCAGCTGGTAGGTATTGCACAGCTGTGATATGCTGTTTTTCAAAATTTGCACAAGCACAAAATCTAAAGTAATTATTATTTACTTTCTTAGTCCTTTGAAAGAAGCTGCACTCAATATCTTCCTACAAAGCTGCATTGCTTTCTTCTGTACTGAATACACATCTGTTTTAAGTAACTGTAAATCCTGACACTACTTGTAAACCCATGGACCAAATGACAAACTAGAGAGTCTTGCTGAATCTTGAGTTGTATGACAACTATAAAGCCTACAGCTGGTTCCTGGACTCTTTTAATATTCCACTTCTACAATTTTGTTTATATGCAACAATGTTCTGGCATCTATTTTCTTCTTGCACACTGGTTTAAATCAAAGCTGGCTTAACTAGTGAAAAGCAAGGGTAAAATCAAATAAAGAAAGGGAGATTATGCATCAAATGTTCCTTTTAGCTCTGATCACAATTTTGTCCTGTTGGAGCCAAACTTTCTGAAGAAAAGTCAGAAGAGAGGTCATGGAACCTGTCCAAGTGCCAGTGACCACTAATGAATGCTTAGGGAAAAATTGAGATGTGGATGGAAATTTTCCCCATTGTATTTCAGCTAATGGAATTTTAGGGACTTCTTAAATCAATTTCTTCTCTTTAGTAATCTTTGACCACTTCTTCTTTCATGATTTCTTCCAGTTACTTTTTGAATCTTGCTATACTTTGGTCTCTACAACATTCTGTAGCAATAGGGTTTACTTTTTAATTATGCATTGTATGAAATAGTACTTTATTTCTTTGTTTTAAACCTACTACTTGACCCCAGTTCTTGTACTGAAAGAGCAAATAATTATTCTTTCTTCACTTTCTAAATAATATTAATGATTTTCTAGGTATTAACCGTAATACCCTATCAGTCACCTCTTTTTCATGCTTAGTCACTCTTTGAGAAGTATGGATACTGTCCCATATCTTTGATGATCCTTGTTGCCCTTTTCTATATCTTTTTCAGGTTTTTGTTTTTGAGATTAGGAGACTAAAACCATAACTGCTCTTGTCTACCTCTGAACACAATGCTTCCTATTTACATGATGATGTGATAAGGTTCTTTACTGTTATTTCTATTCCTTTCTTAACAATTCCTGGTAATTTATTTAGTTCATCTTATTTGTATTGAGCAGTAAGCCAATGTTTGCATAGAACCATCTCCTCTTCTTTGTGCATCATTTTTATATCTTGATTGTATCTGCTGGCCCCATAGACTTTTAGTTGTAAGGAAATTTAGCAAGTTTTTTTCCTCAAAGTCTTTCTTGGCCTAATATATGACATTTTTATATTACGGGCTAGATTTTTTTTTTCTTTTTTTTTCCTCTAAATTGTATTTGAACACAGCTTTCTGTCTTCGGAGCCTTTTCCTCCTTATTCCTTTTTTCCCTTTTTTGCACTGCTCTTTGAACATCCCAGAATTTACTGATCTCTTAAGCTCTTATAAGCTGATGCACACCTTCTCTGAAATGTTACTGTCTTAAGCGGTATTCTAGTCACTTATAACCATTTCATCCTTTTGGCAGCTCCTTTGATTTTTTTTTCTTTTTCTTTTTTTTTTTTTAATAGCTATTCTAATTATTTAACTATATATTTTATTTCACCTGTTTTAAATCGCAATCACTGGAGTGGAATTCTTGCACGTGTTTTTTGTGCAGACAGCAATGCTGTCTCTGAACACATTGTGATCTCTATTCATGAATGATGATTCTTCAGTAGCAACATTTTTACTTACAAATTTTGCAGCATTTATGATTCAGCCAATTACTTCTCCTCTTGTGGAGTCTCTGACTAGCTCTACCAGGGACCGATTATTTATGGTGACCAGAAATGTTGTACCTATACCTCTCAACTATGTGACTTTTATCCAGCGGACAGGCAGTGCATTGGGCATACCACTGTGACTCTCATCAACAGATTTTCTACTCTTTTAAAAGATTGCTATGAATGACTCATGATAACAAAGTGCAAAGCCATACCCAGCACACCAACACGACACACAATATTGCCATTATCATTAACAATAACTTTTTTCTTCATATATTATGAAAATAAGGCAAAATTCACATGGGGCCAGTCTTGCATACTTTGGTACGATTGTTCTAGGTCTTTTTGGTTCAGATATTTTAATGCTGCGTCAGTGTTGTGGTTTACCC